TATAAGCACGTGGTTAATAGATGTATGATTATACTTGAGAACAATATTACTACTCATGCAAACCCAGTTTGATATTTCACATGATATTTTACATCTGCAATTCACTCTAGCTGAGTGAAAGGAGACTCAAATGAAAGGAGGCTTTCAACAGCAGCTTAGTTAAGCTTATTGATTTGTAATATTCATGTTTAACTCTCCGCTGCCTACCCAATCTTATCATAGCTCTAAATCCAGAGGAGATTTTATGCATTATAATTCTCTTACTGGTGAAATACATGTACATTTTGCTTAAAAGGGTATTCGAAAGTTTTTCTAAACTTGTCATTGCTGGATGTAGGTCCTTCACATCTAAGGGACATCTTTTACAGGATGGGTCTCTCAGATAAGGACATAGTGGCCTTATCAGGGGCTCATACATTGGTAATTTCTATTTCTGCTTGGATTTACATTCAAGGTCAGCTGGGGATGCACAACCGAATTTGTTATTTTTTTTATTCTTGTTTCTAGGGAAGGGCACACCCGGAAAGATCTGGATTTGATGGTCCTTGGACTCAGGAACCCCTTAAGTTTGATAATTCCTATTTTGTGTAAGATTTCATCTTTTCACCGGATGCATTTTCTAAGTTTCATTTGGAGCATTATAGAGCCAGATACTAATTGATCATTTTGACACAGCGAGTTGTTGAAAGGGGAATCAGAGGGGCTGCTGAAACTGCCAACTGACAAGGCATTGTTGGAAGATCCTGCGTTTCGTCCTTATGTTGAGTTGTATGCCAAGGTAATACAGGCTTTTCGAGTATTATGGTGACTTCATCAATAAATCAATAAAATCAAAATGCAGTTGCATGGTTTCCTTTTCTAAATTTGGTTTTGATGAAACTAAAACTTTGGCTGCCCGCCTGCACCAACATATAGTTTCCTTATGCACACGGTCTACAACCCTTTGATGCTACTGTCCTTGGTTTTGCGGAGACCGAAAAGAGATGGAAAGTGCTTTTGATGGAATTTGTGCTGCATAGGCTTGTGATGCTACCTAGGAAGTATCCAGTCTGTTCCATCACCATTGTCTATTCAGAGACCAGGAAATCTTCTTAATGAGACCGCACATCAGACTTTGGGTAGATGTATACATGTGTTGGGATAGATATAATTACGTGGTTCCCTGAAACCTCTAGGCTAGAGCATCATCTGTATGCAACCGGGAACACCTGATATGATATTTGAATTGGTGGTTGTTCCCGCAACTCTCTCACGGTGGTTGGCACGACCTTGAAAGAGACAATCGCACAATTTGCTACTCTGCTTCTCTTGTTCTTTGTTTTGTTTTGCTGTACTCTCTTCTTTCCCTAATGTTGTCAAGCATGTGGCAGGATGAGGATGTATTTTTCAGGGATTATGCAATCTCGCATAAGAAGCTCTCTGAACTGGGGTTCACGCCAAGTTCTTCAGGCAGCAAGGCAGTAGCGAATGGTGCCGTATTGGCACAAGGGGCTGTTGGAGTGGCAGTGGCTGCGGCTGTGGTGATCTTGAGCTACTTCTATGAAGTGCGCAAGAAAATGAAGTGAATGCTGCTTTTCGATTTCCCTTTGTGTACCTTCCATATGTTTTAGCAGCTTAGTAGCGCTGCACGCTCCATATCTCTTAGTCCACGATAATAGTCGGGGCATTACCTTTTCCAGTTGGTTAGTACACAAACATGCTGCCTTAAGTGAGGAGTTACATATATACGTATAACCCCCTGGTATATGCATGCATTTTATGTGGTGCTCGCATACAAGTGGGTAGCCGTGCAGGCAGACCGACTTCCGATTCACTCGAGCTATTCCTTCAACCTAGAAATCCAGAATGTGTGATTCACTTATTCATTCTTTTACAGCAAAGACCCTCCCAAGCATACATTCGCCATTTGAAATCAGACTTTCACGGGCAGGCTTATTTTTTTTCATCTATTGGTACTTTCGCGCATTGAATCATCACTCCAGTTCTTCATTCGTTATGTATATAGCAAGTTCCATTATCTGAGGTCGGCTTTCAAATTTTCCATATATTTGATTTTTCTCTTCCTAATAATTTTTTTTCTTACATATATAAATATATATTTCACCCAAACGGGGAGCTTTTTGTTCGCTTTTCGCTCACGTGCATTCTTCATTTTGGACAAATTCACAATGAACCGTCAGAAAATGAAATTAATAAATCCAAAGTTCACAATGATCCATAATCTGCGATATACTAAATAATATCTTTTTCTTATAAAAATAGATTGTAAATGTATAGATTGAGAATTAAATAGTATCATTTGTTTTATATTGGACATTGTTTCTCATTTAAAAACAAATAATTTTGTGAGTGAATTATGGGGATTTCTATGAAAATGAACATGGAATTATCAAATTAAAATTGAAAGCACAAACTAGCCACTTTAACACGTTATATATTAATTATAAAAATACCTGAACGACAACATTTTTATGGTCCACAATGAAGTATAGATATAAATTGTTGTCAATAATGAATACTTTCTTTTGTTAATTATTTCAAATGATATAACAAATTATTTTAAAAAGTATGTTAAAATTATTTATTTTCGGAGAGCGGCTATTTGAAACGTAAAACCCAAACCCTAAATTGGAAAAATAGCCTCTCTCTCCCCTCTCGCCTCCCCTCTCCTCTCTCGAACACAGCCTCTCTCTCACCTCTTGTTGATGAGGTCAGTTGGAAAAAAGAATTTTTAAAAAAAGCGAACTCCTTACACTTGATAATTCGGTGCATATATGGTTAAGTTAGCATTAATTGCACCAGATCGAATTGCAAACTGTGGTTGGCTAAAAAAAAATATATCAAATGTATGGTTACGATGCTAAGTTAAGCTTTATTAAAGAATTGGGTATTTTGCAAGTGAAAAAAATAGGTCTCATGTAATAAATACTTTTTTAAAGATCTGCTTAAGAAACATTTCCACCTGCCATACCTCATTTTTAAGATATTCAGATTAGTATAATTAGGGTAGTCGATATTCATTCTACAATAATGAGCTTGACACAAGGCCGCTTATAATAGCTACATAAAACTTATTTTATTAAATCGAACTACAAGTCAATGCAACAACCTATGAATATTCATTTAAATAAGTACATGATATCATATGCTCAACAGGGGCCAATTTCGTAAATTGGTCTAAGCATCCATACTTAGCATTTTCAATGAGCTTGTAGAATTCATTTGCGTACACACTTCACTTTTCCATTAATACTAGCTAAACGATCCATCCCCAAGCATAGAGAAGTACAATCCAAGTTCATATGAGGAGTTCCGTAAAGTTTGACTAGTACTTTATCGAGAAAGATCTTTCTACCAAAGTTAAATGCATTCTGAATGTAGGTCATTCTCCTTCGGACTTTTTAGCTCAGACTCATTCATAGATCCCTGTAGGTTATCCGTGGACAGGCTCGGCCGTGCTTCTCAAAATTACGGCCGAATAGCCAGGCCTTCCCTCACCAATCACTCTTACCACAAGCCTATCTATCGTCCGGAGCCCCGCCAATGACAGACCTCAAGCCTGCAAGCCCCCATGCCAAAACGAGAAAAGAGTTCTTCTACAAGAAGTGCAAAGTATCAAACCAACAAACAATAATAATAATCATGATGGGCCACCACAACAAATTTTCAGCAACTCCACACCTATGCCGATGACACTGATCACCTCGGTGTGGATTATTTAACACCCATTTTGATTTTAAAATTCATATAAGATTCCAGATGAAGATTCAATACATAACGGTTACTAATAAAAGTGCATAGTGCAACACGAAAAGTAAAAGCTCCAAATTATCGTAACGATGGCCCCCCACACTACCAAATCCGTCAAATCTATCCAGTGCCATATACTGACACAGGATTGCCATTCATCCGTACCTTCTAGGGTGACGGTCCATGATCCTCCTTTACGGACTGTCGTGTGGAAGCAAAAATAAAAGCACCATTAACGCAGACGACAGTGCCAATGGCTATCTTCCGCAGGTACTTATCTGTTGCTACAAATTGGGATTCGTAGAAGTCCTTCATTTCCCTTTCCGACTTCTTAATAAGAGCAACAAATTGGGCAACATCAGAATCCATCTTCTTACAAAGTTTTTCCATCCTACATTCAAATTCATTAAGAGAAATTCCAGCCTCATGTTAGAAAAAGTTAGTCATGGCACGATATCGTCTACTTCATAGCAAGACAATTACCTTTACATAGGGATACTCATGTGTTAAGTGATGCCACTATAGATGATAAAGAATGGATTCTCCTGACAAAAACATTCAAGAAAAAGAATTTGAAAAACTAACTACTTATATGAGTTTTCAATTTGCCTACCATACGAAGGGTGATGAAAAAAATGCGTTGCTAATTAGACATAGCACAAAATGAAGGCAGAGATTAATAGAAGGAAAGGGTGGTAGAAATACAGACAATCCATTCCTCTCAACTCCATACTTTGAAAGATTAGATTCTCGAGGTATTTCAGATTCTGGACTATATGCTATTTATTCTGCCTAATCCCACTAGACTAATTTAAAATATTTGAAAGATTAACAGATATGTTCTCGAGAGTTGATGTTTGAAGGAACAATGAAACACATTGACGTGAATGAATAGGTGAGTCATCGAGAAAATAACATGTTCTTTGGTGACGAGAGAATAAAGTATGGGAAACGTGCCTGTATAGAGACAGTCACCACTTCAAGAAGCTAATAACAACGAAACCAGCAAAAGCTATGGAAAAAAGGGCACACACCCACAATTTGAATGCTTTATCTTTTGTTGCCTCCTGTGCTAAGTCGGACCTTAATCTTGCTTCACTAATCATCTTCTCCATAACAACACAATACTTCATTATCTTTTGATATGGCTCCTTCTAAAGTTTTTCCATCTCAACTGCCCACAAAGAGAGTTTCTGCATCGAATATTACAAAAAAGTTAGTAGACATAGTAGAAATGCAAACAGTCATACTTGCTTATAAGATATTTCCTGTTCATACTTAGCAATTCTTGAATCTTGCGCTATTTTGGCCTACAAAGACAGGTTAGAATTTGCTAAGTTGCTCTCCATGCATTCATTCTCACGAACACTAACAAATAGTTGGTATGCGGGAAAATAAACAAACTTGCAAGACGGGGTGTTTACTTTGTGAATTTCTCCTTTCTGTAACTAGGAACGTGTCTCAGTTTCCAAGCCCTCAGACAAAATCATTGCAGCCGCGGTTATCCTTTTGCACTCTTCATCCGTAAAGCCTTGTTCGCGTAGAATATTAATTTGCATAGTGAAATGGAAAATGACAAGCCATTTAATACTGATTTTGGTTTCTAAATAGAGAATACATAAGATTAGAGGCAAAATTACCAGAGCCCTCTCTATGGGCGAAACATGAGGTACCACAGCCTTGTGCTGCAAAGTCGAAAACGTACTAAAAGCGCTGAACCTCGCAGATCCAAACCTAAACGTAGAAAGAGTCCGTCTCAAGAAAGATATTCTGCAAAAAAGTTTAGAGGACGACGGCCCTACAATGATCGACGAAAGAAATCAAAGATTAGAGGACGACGTAATTGATGGAATTCAAAGATAAAGGCAAAATGCACAAGAACTTAAATCATTCTTCGGATGTGGATAGTCCAGAAGTGCATAATCCTGGTGCAATCATCCTACTTCCGTATTGTGGCAAAGAGCACAAGAACTACACGAACCAATAATGCATCCCCTATTGCTTGGCAGGACAAGTTGGCACACAGTTGATATTAAGACCGAGTCTCGAAAGCCTTCCTGTGAGTCAAAACGGCATCCCATCGGTACATGATAATCTTCATAGTGAAGATGAAGCTAATCATTTTTCGGTCAGATAAGTCCACTAGCTCTTTCGACCAAGAAAATAAAATAAAATCCACTAGCTCGTTTTTGCAATACTACGGAAGTAGGATGATTGCACCAGGAATATGCACCTCTGGACTATCCACATCCGAAGAATGATCTAAGTTCTTGCGCATTTTCCCTTTCTCTTTGAATTCCATCAATTACGTCGTCCTCTAATCTTTGATTTCTTTCGTTGATCATTGTAGGGTCGTCGTCCTCTAAACTTTTTTGTAGAATGTCTGTCTTGAGACGGACTCTTTTTACGTTTAGGTTTGGATCTGCGAGATTCAGCGCTTTTAGTACGTTTTCGAAGGCTGTAGTACCTCATGTTTCGCCCATCGAGAGGGCTATGGTAATTTTGCCCATAATCTTATGTTTTCTCCATTTAGAAACCAAAACCAGTATTAAATGGCTTGTCATTTTTCATTTCACTATGCAGATTAATATTCTACGTGGACAAAGCTTTATGGATGAAGAGTGCAAAAGGATAACCGCGGCTGCAATGATTTTGTCTGAGGGCTTGGAAACTGAGACACGTTCCTAGTTACAGAAAGGAGAAATTCACAAAGTAAACACCCCGTCTTGCAACTTTGTTTATTTTCCTGCATACCAACTATTTGTTAGTGTTCGTGAGAATGAATGCATGGAGAGCAACTTAGCAAACTCTAACCTGTCTTTGTAGGCCAAAATAGCGCAAGATTCAAGAATTGCCGAGTATGAACAGGAAATATCTTATAAGCAAGTATGACTGTTTGCATTTCTACTTTTCTTCTTCCTTCTATTAACTTCTACTATGTCTACTAACTTTTTTGTAATATTCGATGCAGAAACTCTCTTTGTGGGCAGTTGAGATGGAAAAACTTTGGAAGGAGTCATATCAAAAGATAATGAAGTATTGTGTTATGGAGAAGATGATTAGTGAAGCAAGATCAAGGTCCGACTTAGCACAGGAAGCAACAAAAGATGAAGCATTCAAGTTGTGGGTGTGTGCCCTTTTTTCCATAGCTTCTGCTAGTTTCGCTGTTATTAGCTTCTTGAAGTGGTGACTGTCTCTGTACAGGCACTTTGGGCACGTTTCCCATACTTTATTCTCTCGTCACCAAAGAACATGCTATTTTCTCGATGACTCAGCTATTCATTCACCTCAATGTGTTTCATTGTTTCTTCAAACATCAATTCTCGAGGACATATCTGTTAATCTTTCAAATATTTTAAATTAGTCTAGTGGGATATTTACCTTATCTAATTCAATTCTTTTTGAAAAAGAATCATCGACCTTCTCCTCCAAGGTGTTGTCCAGAACTTTCAAAAATGCATGTGTGACTGCTCTTGATTGCCTTGATGTAAAGCCCTGGGCTTCCAAGCTCCTCATCTGCATAAAAAAAACAGAAATTTGCTCCTCAACAAATACGACATCTTCCCTCAATTAGAAGAAAAAGAATCATAGTACACAGCATATGCGTCGACAAGACACGCACGCGTGCCGTTCAAGCTAGAGTATGATCGGAGCCTATCTATCGTCCAAAGCCCCGCCAATGACAGACCTCAAGCTTGCAAGCCTGCAAGCCCCCATGCCAAAACGAGAAAAGAGTTCTTCTACAAGAAGTGCAAAGTATCATACCAACAAACAATAATAATAATCATGATGGGCCACCACAACAAATTTTCAGCAACTCCGCACCTATGCCGATGACACTGATCACCTCGGTGCGGATTATTTAACACCCATTTTGATCTTAAAGTTCATAAAAGATTCCAGATGAAGATTCAATACATAACGGTCACTAATAAAAGTGCACAGTGCAACACGAGAAGTAAAAGCTCCAAATTATCGTAACGATGGCCCCCCACACTACCAAATCCGTCAAATCTATCCAGTGCCATATACTAACACAGGATTGCCATCCATCCGTACCTTCTAGGGTGACGGTCCATGATCCTCCTTTACGGACTGTCGTGTGGAAGCAGCAAAAATAAAAGCACCATTAATGCAGACGACAGTGCCAATGGCTATCTTCCGCAGGTACTTATCTATTGCAACAAATTGGGATTCGTAGAGGTCCTTCATCTCCCTTTTCGACTTCTTCATAAGAGCAACAAATTCGGCAACATCAGAATCCATCTCCTTACAAAGTTTTTCCATCCTACGTTCAAATTCATCAAGAGAAATTCCAGCCTCATGTTCCTGCATCGAATGTTAGAAAAAGTTAGTCATGGCATGATATCGTCTACTTCATAGCAAAACAATTTACTTTTGAACATAGGGATACTCGTGTGTTAAGTGATGCCACTATAGATGATAAAGAATGGATTCTCCTGACAAAAAACATTCAAGGAAAAGAATTTGATAAACCAACTACTTATATGAGTTTTCAATTTGCCTACCATACGAAGGGTGATGAAAAAAATGCGTTGCTAATTGCTAATTAGACATAGCACAAAATGAAGGCAAAGATTAATAGAAGGAAAGGGTGGTAGAAATACAGACAATCCATTCCTCTCAACTCCATACTTCAAACTTAAACTTTGAAAGATTAGATTCTCGAGGTATTTCAGTCTACAAAGCACAAACAGTGTCAAAACCATCAAGTTAGCAGCACCTACCATATCCTCAGTGCATGGCTCATTTTCACTCTCGTCCTAAAGTTATTCTCCATGCATTCATACTCAAGAATACTATTAAACAGTTGGCATGCAGGAAAATAGACAAAACTTGTATTGACAAAAAAGCATTTTCACTTTCTTCCCTTCTACTTTCGAGAAGAAAGAATTAGCCACGTTCTCCAAACTATCATTCCAAACTTCAATGATTCCGGCGAAAACCTAGAGAAACCAATAATTGGTTTCTCCTCAAACATGAGATTTAACGGCTTAATGAAATTTCATCTACTAAAACATTATCTTCACAATGAGAAACCGGAGACTCGGGATGAAACATGAATTACCGGATGCAAGTCCATCTTTTTTTTTTTGAAAACTCTTTCAAAGAGGAGGAGCTTGAAGTCGAACGGGCTTTCGAAGCTCGATACCTCATCAGACAATTATCCACCTTGATGCCCACTTGAAGCATACGTTTGAATGTGGCCATTCTGCGAGGAAACAGAGGATTCAAAAGGATTGACGAGGAAGAAGATGAAGACAGTTCAATTCATCAAGCAAATTACATCTCATACACCAGGTTTATAAATCATCACACATAACTTTTCACAATTCCCTTGATAAAGCAACCCACGGCGCACCGTGACCGCAACATTCACACACGAACTCACCGAAAAAAAACCAGAAAATAAAAAATTAAGGAAATATTAATAACTCCTGTGAAACACAGAGAAAGAGAAGAGAGAAGAGAGAGAGAGAGTTGTTTTTCTGTGTCATCACTTCCATCATCATCATCATCACACACACACACTTCAAATTCGTTCCCTTCGCACGAGATAACACACACACACACCCCCAGAGAGAGAGAGACGCGGACAGAGCGACGCAGACCCCCGCAGCTTGACAAAAGGGTAAGCAGCTTCCAGACCCCCCTCTCTCTCTCTCTCTGTGCAACCCTTTTCGTTACCTTGCTTGGCTTTCTTTGGGTCGAGCCAGGTGTGTTGGGTGCGCGCGCGCGTGAGCTGCAGCTGGAAGGGGCGCGCTCTTCCTCTGTGTGGGGTTCGGTGTTTGTGGGGGTTCGTGCGGCTGGCAGGGAGGCTTTGGAATGGCGGGCTCGGTGGAGAAGGACGAGGTGGTGTCGCTGGAGCTCCCCGCTTCGGAGGAGGGAGGGAGGGAGCGAGCGAGAGAGAGAGGCGAGTGACTTCGGACGAGGGAATTAGGGTTCGAGCGAGAGCGAGAGAGAGAGAGAGAGGCGAGAGCAGAGCTGAATTGTAAAGCGCAGAGGAAAATGCCCATTGACAATTTGCCCCAAATCGGACTGTTTTATAAGCCCAGCACCATCATGTAGCATCTCGATGGGGCCGAAGAAAAAGTTGGCCCAATCTCTCAAGTGAGGGCTTTTCGAAATTGAAAGAGAGGACTCGATGTTACACATGGAATCTAGGAAGGCGTGAAACATATATGTTCCATGGTGACACGAGATCTGTGAGCATCTAATTTACGTAAAAATTTTGGCATCATTAAGTCGACTGAATTAACGAATCGCCAATCATTTTTCACTTGCCATCGATATTTGACATGCATTATCGATTACTCGAAATTACAACCCCCGAAACAAATTTCCGTTATGGGCCCACGAAGTTTTACAATACCTGCTGGGTTCTAATTATAATTAAATGGATTGATCTTTTCATATAAATATATATAAATGTATGTATGCGCGCGTAACCTTTTCACTTATTTTACGAAAATTGGAATTCAGCTAGCCACCAAGATCCAAAAAATGAGTTTTCAGATTGGCAAATCCCACGAAAAACCAAAAAAGAAAATTGAAAATCCCGATTGAAAATACAACCCACGATGCGACTCTCGAGGGATAGAATCTATTCGGTCCGATCCTAGAAGACTCTTTGAATTTAATTGTACATCCAGTTAATTTATTAAATTTATCATTTTAATTTAGAGTTAAACTGACGAAATTATACCACGCCGTTGGCCACTCGCTTCCCTTTACTACCGACTTTATTTTCGTGCATAACCTCTGAACTAGACTTGTGCGTATAATGTATTCAGTGGATTGGAAAGAAAAAGTCCCAGGCCATTCGCGTGTGCCAAATTGTAAACGGATCAGTTGGTGTTTTTTAGCGACCAATACCGGCGACGGAACTCTTACCTTTTTAGATTAAGAATCGTAAATAAGGGCGTTTTAATCGTTTGAAGGACGATGAATCCAAAATTTACACATCAAAATCAAATGGCTCTCGCAAAGAAACGAAAACGACTAGGGCCGTGAAGAGAGGGTTTGCAAATTCCTCTTGAAGAAGAAGTTGGCGCATTCTTCATTTTGGGAGATACTGATTTGGACCAGCTGGATGTCCAGCTGAGAAAGGGAACGATTCAGCCTCGAACGATCTCGCTCTTAATGTCGACTATCTCAACAAGAAGGTATGCTGAATTTATTGAACTTCTCTTTATGTTGGTGAATAAAATGGAAGTTAGGACACAGGAGTCTCCGTTCTGTTTTTTTGGCTGAAACAGTTGAATTGTGCTCGGCCGAGCCCAATTCTGCATCGAGAGCATGAAATTTGTTCCCTTAGCAGTAGAAGTAGAACCCTTTTGTCCTTCATGATTTCAGCAGCTCTTACGGCCAATTTAATGTAGCATCAATTATTCTGAAAATGTTGATTTTTAAGGGTTGGGAGTTCTTGGTATACATACCGATGGATTCTTGAGGAAAGTGAAACAATTGGATGGGAATGTTAGTGTACACTGAAGGACAGCTATCTGCCGGTTCCTGATGGATAATGACCTCCTACTTGTTCTTATGATTTCTAACGCTTAGATTTTGTTGCTTATAAAAAGCGAGCTACTTGAGCCTTCAGTGTAGACGATGCATGTTATTATGGAATGACCTGCATGCCATGACAGGATTGAAGTTTATCTTCTTATTTTGAACGGCTAAGTTAGTGCTATAGTTGAACATCGTGGTCGAGTGACATTTTGCATAAGCATCGAGTGAGCTGCTCTCTTGGTAATGCAAGTTCTTATAAGCTCTTCTTTCCAGTTTGGTGCAGCACCTTCATTAATGATAAAAGAAGGATCCGTTGGCTCTGTATTAGTTAGAATGCCTTGGAAGGGTAAAGGCTACCAGGTGGAGGTTGAAGAATTTGAATTGGTGCTTGCACCTTCTGTGGATAACTATACGTCAGATGCAGTTGGTTCTCAAGGTTCCTGCCTAGATAATGCAGCATTTCTTGGAAGAATGGTTCAGAGTTGAGCATTCCTTGGAAGAAGGGTTCCTTAGACATTAGAAAAGTGGATGCGGATGTTTCTGTAGATCCTACAGAGTTACTGCTTTGACCAAGTACAGTCAAATGGCTTTTGTTTTCATGGGGAACATTTGTTAATTTGGGCAAGGAGCGTGAGTGTGGTATGCAGCATAAGTCAGCAGACAATGTTCATTTCAGTTCTGCATCTGGTAGCCCTTCACCGGCAACTGGATCGTGTGAAGTTGCCACTAACAAAGCATCACCACTCTATGGTGGCTATTCTGTTGAGCTTTCTTCCTCTCTGGGGCAGGGAACAGGTTCTGATCTTCACTTACCGAATGTGATCATGGGTTGGGTTCCTTTTGTTGCGGATAAGGAGGAAGGTGATTTTGGGGCAAGGTTGGACATTTTTACTGTTGCTTTATTCATGTTGTGCTTATGGCCTGCTGGGGTGGATTAAATGCGGCAGTTCTTCGTGTTTCTGAAGTTGGCGATCCTCTTTCTGACCCATGCTTTTGAAACAACGTACTGCTCCTGGGGAAAAACATGCATGATAGTAGCAATGCCCGACTTGGGAATTTCTGTGAAGGGACATATAACTCCATCATCTGGCTTATGAACTAAATCATCTGTCGTATAAGTTTCACACTCTAGTTGGTTTCGACATCTCGCTTCTCTCAATTTTGAATGCCAACACGTTTGGCATCCTCAGTTTTTCTTTTAAAAGTCCTTACAGTGAGAAATAGTTTCAGGATAATTTGAATGACTTCAATGTGGCTTTTGTGTCCTCTTTGGCTCTTTCGCAGCATGGATCAATTTTTTGAGTGCTTCGATGAAATGAGAAATTCTTAGTCAGCCCTAGGTGGGAGTGCGGCCTCTGATTTGGCTTCGGGGTCGTTGCTTATACCTTTCTGGTGTGCATGTTTTGAGCTATAGCTATCATATGCATCTGTCTGATTGCTTTATGTTGGACAGGTGCCTCTAAGAAAATAGCTTAGACTGCTTTACTGTAAACCTTTTCGTTCAAATTATCATGAAATAGTTTCAGGATAATTTGAATGACTTTAATGTGGCTTTTGTGTCCTCTATGGCTCTTTCGCAGCGTGGATCAATTCTCTGAGTGCTTCGATGAAATGAGAAATTCTCAGTCAGCCCTACGTGGGAGTGCGACCTCCGATTTGGCTTCGGTGTCGTTGCTTGTACCTTTCTGGTATGTATGTTTCGAGCTATAGCTATTATATGTATCTGTCCGATTGCTTTATGTTGGACAGGTGCCTCTAAGAAAATAGCTTAGAGTGCTTTACTGTAAACCTTTTCCATTAGGAAACGGTGAAAAGATTCTGCTACTTATATATAGTGGATGTAGCGTTGGTGGTGCAACTGAATCTTCTCATTACGTTTTTTCAACGACGGTAAACGAGATATTTCTTGCTCAGAAGAAAGGCCTGAGGATGGAAGACAATCTTACGGAGCAAATGCCCGACAAAGTTCCACTGTTGATTGCCAAATTTTGTGCAGAACAGCAGCATGTGGAAACTAATCTCAGAGCGTCCATTGCTGGAATGTCTCTTATGTTCTCTCTCCATGATGAAGATGAGGGGAATTTTCAGGAGTTGAATGGTGATCAGCGTTGGCTTTGATTATCATCGTCTAGGTGCAGGATGCAGGGATATATCTTTAATGGTGCAGGTAAGAATGAGGATTCTTGGAATTGTAGGCCTTCCTCTTTCAGATTCTGGACTATACGCTGTTTACTCTGCCTAATCCCACTAGACTAATTTTAAATATTTGAAAGATTAACAGATATGTCTGTTTACTCTGCCTAATCCCACTAGTCTAATTTTAAATATTTGAAAGATTAACAGATATGTCCTCGAGAGTTGATGTTTGAAGGAACAATGAAACACATTGAGGTGAATGAATAGGTGAGTCATCGAGAAAATGGCATGTTCTTTGGTGACGAGAGAATGAAGTATGGGATACGTGCCCAAAGTGCCTGTATTCGGCGGCAGCAAGCGGAAGTACTAGGCACTCTTCCTCCGCGCGCCTCTTATATGGATGTTCCTGAACATGATTTGGTTGGGGAATCTGCTCCAAAAGTTCCATTTGCAAAGCAGAATGATGTGATCAGAATAATGCCGCTTAGAACTTCGGGACTTGCTCGTTTCCAATTAGTCAGCAATTCTTGCCTGTCTGATGGCAGCTTGAGAGGGCCAGTGTCATTCTCATCATCACTACCACCATTTGCTCTTTGGGTTTACTTCCGGCTTATCCTCAAGCTGCTGGCTTTCGTGAAGGAAATGGAGAAGTTTCTCTAAGTAAATGACTTCACGAATAACTTTCAATCCGAAGATAAGCAAGTATCTCCTGAGGATTGGAACAGAAGGCCTAGAACTTGCATTGCAACCACATCTTGGAGGGAGAGACTACAGGGTGTCCTATCGGTCTTTGATGCGAGAGTATTCTCTGCTTTCCTTTTGATGGCAGAGATGATGTAGGGAGCTATTTTGATTGGGATCAGTTTATTGCTCTGGACTTTTATTCTCCTTTTTCTACAAGAGAAGGGCAGGGTGATAGTTTGAACTTTGATACCCTTCTGCAATTCAAATTCCAAGAAGAGGTTTTCTTCAATGGTGACAACTTCTGTGCATCTGAGTTCCTGTAACCTTGACTTGTATCTAGTCAGTACTGCATGTGAGGTGGCTGATGATGGTTGATGATGGGGGTGAGTCTCGCTGTACTGCTAAAGGGTGTAAATTTTCTTCTCTGAAGATTCTGCTTGTTGCCAACTACACACCTTCTTCCATCCTCAGAATGATTTGGCAGGAGGGTCCTGTTACTGGTGCATGGGTTGCCGAGAGAGCAAAGTCTTTAGCTGTTTCAGAGGAGAGGAGCAGAAATAAATTCGTGGGAAAAGGATCTGAGTTTGCCTCCATAACAACTTTGAGAGATTCTGGTGATACTGCTTCTGAAATACGTCAAGAGATAAAACGCAAAACCCTAAATTGGAAAAGTCGCCTCTCTCTCGCCTCTCTCAGAACGTTCGGTCCGTCGCTGGCTCTCGCCTCTCTCCCTCCGTCGCTCCCTCTCGCACTGAGTGCGCCGCACGACAAAGTCCAGGGAGGGCTGAACCGAGCAGAAGCACCACAAGTTCTCGAAACGCTTTACCTGTAAGCAATCTAAGCGAATATTTACGCGATTGATCAGAGTTCTAAGTCGAGATATCCTTGTCAAGTTCATGTTTGGTGATTTCGAGAATGATCTCATCTTGCATTGTGGACCGAGAGATAACAGCTTGCCGTTGGTTCTTCGTTATGCTGATTACTCGAATAGGGTGTTTTTTTTTTTATTGAACACTAGCATCGAAGAGCGGCTATTTGGAACGTAAAACCCAAACCCTAAATTGGAAAAATAGCCTCTCTCTCTCGCCTCCCCTCTCCTCTCTCGAACATAGCCTCTCTCTCTCTCTCGCCTCTGGTTGATGAGGTCAGTTCGAAGAAAGAATTTTTTAGAAAAGCAAACTCCTTACAGCAAGCGGCCTCTCTATCTCGAACATAGCCTCTCTATCTCGCTCAACTTTTTCAGTCTCTCCGGCCGGCCTCGACTGTCAACTCCCCCACGGCCACACCTCTGCCCCTCGCTCTCGGTCGCCTTCAAGTAAGTTCGAATCCCTAATCTTTAGGATGTACAATTGAATTCAAAGAGTCTCGTTAGGAAGGGTTATCTTAGGATCGGACTGAATAGATTCTATCCCTCGAGAGTCGCATCGTGGGTTGTATTTTCGATCGGGATTTTCAATTTTCTTTTTTGGTTTTTCGTGGGATTTGCCAATCGAAAAACTCTTTCTTTGGATCTTGGTGGCTAGCTGAATTCCAATTTTCGTAAAATAAGTGAAAAGGTTACGCGCATACATACATTTATATATATTTATATGAAAAGATCAATCCATTTAATTATAATTAGAGCCCAGCAGATATTATAAAACTTCGTGGGCCCATAACGGAAATTTGTTTCGGGGGTTGTAATTTCGAGTAATCGATAATGCACGTCAAATATCGATGGCAAGTGAAAAATGATTGGCGACTCGTTAATTCAGTCGACTTAATGATGCCAAAATTTTTACGTAAATTAGATGCTCACAGATCTCGTGTCACCATGGAACATATATGTTTCACGCCTTCCAAGATTCCATGTGTAACATCGAGTCCTCTCTTTCAATTTCGAAAAGCCCTCACTTGAGAGATTGGGCCAACTTTTTCTTCGGCCCCATCGCGATGCTACGTGATGGTGCTGGGCTCATAAAACAGTCTGATTTGGCGCAAATGTCAATTGTCATTTTCTTCTGCGCTTTACTCTGCTCTCGCCTCTCTCTCTCTCTCTCGCTGGAACCCTAATTCGCCTCTCTCTCTCGCTCGCGCCCTCCCTCCTCCGAAGCGGGGAGCTCCAGCGACACCACCTCGTCCTTCTCCACCGAGCCCGCCATTCCAAAGCCTCCCTGCCAGCCGCACGAACCCCCACAAACACCGAACCCCACACAGAGGAAGAGCGCGCCCCTTCCAGCTGCAGCTCACGCGCGCGCGCTCCCTCCGTCGCTCCCTCTCGCACTGAGTGCGCCGCGCGACAAGTCCAGGAAGGGCTGAACCGAGCAGAAGCAACGTTCGCTCCGTCGCTGGCTCTCGCCTCTCTCCCTCCGTCGCTCCCTCTCGCACTGAGTGCGCCGCTCGACAAGTCCAGGGAGGGCTGAACCGAGCAGAAGCACCGCAAGTTCTCGAAGCGCTTTACCTGTAAGCAATCTAAGCGAATATTTACGCGATTGATCAGAATTCTAAGTCGAGATATCCTTGTCGAGTTCATGTTTGGTGATTTCGAGAATGATCTCATCTTGCATTGTGGACCGAGATATAACAGCTTGCCGTTGGTTCTTCGTTATGCTGATTACTCGAATCGAGTGTTTTTCTTTATTGAACACTGGCATCGATTCTGGGATTTAGTTGACAAATGATGTCAGTTTCTGCGGTTTAGTTGTCTGCTCTGTGTGATTTAGTTTCGTTGAAGGAGCATTTTTCATCTTCTTCCCTTGCTTCATTGGGGAATCCAGTTCTCTCTGTGCCACGTGGACTTATATGTATTGAATTAGAAATGAAATGTTCATTTGCTTGGTGAATTGAACTTTCTTCATCTTTTCTCGCAGAATGATTAGATTTAAGCGTGCGGCTCTGCTTGGGGCCAAAAGTTTGATTGGCTGGAATTTGAAAAGAAGAAGGACGGGTGTAGTGAATACTTTGGACCTGGTAATGTACTTTTTCATCTTGATTCTCCGTTTTCTCTTTAGAAGATAAATAATGTTTTCGTTTTTTCCCATAAAGATTAGTGGATTCGAGGCGCGGGACTTGCCGTTAAAGCTAGGTGAGGGAATGAAGTGCGCAATGATAAATGTGTTGAATGATAGACTTGGATATATACATGATTGTTTCGCCTTGAAGGCGAAACTAGATGAGGTAAAATCCTATCTTGTATAAGCAAGTTTGATCTATTAATAGCATTTCTCGGGATGATTTGCTCTATTTCTCTATTTGTAGTTTAATGCAACTCGAGGTTGCATTGGAAAAGTTTCACTCCAAGGTCCAAAGTGACATGGTATGCATAATCTGCTACTTTTTTTTCTTCTTCTAGTTTTTATTTGAATTATGGCATAACTTTTTCTTCTATTGGATGCAGAAAAGTTGTTCAATGAGGATGGAAAGGCAACTTGAGGTTGTGCTTCGTAACTTGAAACATTCAAGTAGGACAGTTAATGACAATTTGAAGGAGAGATTGGAAGAAGAGCAGTTGATGTTGTCAGTTAGTTCGGATCGGGTAAGATCCGCCATGATTAAGAAATTTTTAATGTGCTTGCTTGTCATTTTGCTTGCTGTCGTTGCATGTCCGTTCTTGCCGCTGGTCCTCACGAAGATTTCAGATCATTCTTCGGATGTGGATAGTCTAGAGGTGCATATTCCTGGTGCAATCATCCTACTTCCGTAGTATTGCAGAAACGAGCTAGTGGATTTTATTTTATTTTCTTGGTCGAAAGAGCTAGTGGACTTATCCGACCGAAAAATGATTAGCTTCATCTTCACTATGAAGATTATCATGTACCAACGGGATGCCGTTTTGACTCACAGGAAGGCTTTCAAGACTCGGTCTTAATATCAACTGTGTGCTAACTTGTCCTGCCAATCAATAGGGGATGCATTACTGGTTCGTGTAGGTTCTTGTGCTTTTTGCCACAATTAAGCATGCTTCTCATGATCATATGTGCCTCTCACATAGCCTTTTGAATCTCTCTCAATCACGTAGTTTCTTGTGTCAGCAATCGTTTTTATCTCTCTCATCAGGTCCTTGTCTAGTACACTACAAATAGTAGTGTAATTGATAATACAAATAAGTTGAGCGGTTTAGGTTTTGGATTGATGACATGGAGCAGTAATGAAAGTCAAAGCATGCACACTTGTCATGAGATCTATTATTTGTGTAATCATCTTCATGCACAACCCAGAATTGTAATCATCGACATGGACTAACCGTCGTACGAAGATTGGTATTAACGTTCGAACCTGGATGTGATCTGACATTTGAAAACTCTTTCAAAGATGATGAGCTTGAAGTCGAACGGGCTTTTGAAGTTCGATACCTCATCGGACAATTATCCACCTTGATGCCCACTTGAAGCATACGTTTGAATGCGGCCATTTTGCGAGGAAACAGAGAATTCAAAAGGATTGACAAGGAAGAAGATGAAGACGGTTCAATTCATCAAGCAAACTACTGACTAATCTCAGAGCGTCCATTGCTGGAATGTCTCTTATGTTCTCTCTCCATGATGAAGATGAGGGGAATTTTCAGGAGTTGAATGGTGATCAGCGTTGGCTTTGATTATCATCGTCTAGGTGCAGGATGCAGGGATATATCTTTAATGGTGCAGGTAAGAATGAGGATTCTTGGAATTGTAGGCCTTCCTCTTTCAGATTCTGGACTATATGCTGTTTACTCTGCCTAATCCCACTAGACTAATTTGAAATATTTGAAAGATTAACAGATATGTCCTAGAGAGTTGATGTTTGAAGGAACAATGAAACACATTGAGGTGAATGAATAGGTGAGTCATCGAGAAAATGGCATGTTCTTTGGTGACGAGAGAATGAAGTATGGGATACGTGCCCAAAGTGCTTGTATTCGGCGGCAGCAAGCGGAAGTACTAGGCACTCTTCCTCCGCGCGCCTCTTATATGGATGTTCCTGAACATGATCTGGTTGGGGAATCTGCTCCAAAAGTTACATTTGCAAAGCGGAATGATGTGATCAGGATAATGCCGCTTAGAACTTCGGGACTTGCTTGTTTCCAATTAGTTAGCAATTCTTGCCTGTTAGTAATTTGCTTGATGAATTGAACTGTCTTCATCTTCTTCCTCGTCAATCCTTTTGAATTCTCTGTTTCCTCACAGAATGGCCGCATTCAAACGTATGCTTCAAGTGGGCATCAAGGTGGATAATTGTCCGATGAGGTATCGAGCTTCGAAAGCCCGTTCGACTGCCAGCTCATCATCTTTAGTGATTTTCGTTGGAGTGCTTGAGTTTATGCTGCCACATTTGATTGTATATTATTTTTAGGTATACCTATCTCTAGCAAACATTTGATTTTCGACGCGTATGCTGTGATATGATTCTTTTTCTTCTAATTGAGGGAAGATGTATTTATTGAGGAGCAAATTTCTGTTTTTTTTATGCATATGAGGAGCTTGGAAGCCCACGGCTTCACATCAAGGCAATCAAGAGCGGTCACACATGCACTTTTGAAAGTTCTGGACAACACCTTGGAGAAGGTCGATGATTCTTTTTCAAAAAGAATTGAATTAGATAAGGTAAATATCCTATCCAAATTTCTGAATGCCTACTTATTTTGATAGCATGGAATATATAAGTTGTAATCTCTTGCTCACCACTACCATGCTTCATATTAAAGAAGTGAACCACGCTAGGCTTGGAAAGATCATGTTTGAAGGACAAATTGCTATGGTATGCATTGTCATTGTACCTTCATTTTGTAATTCTATTGCCATTTTATAACTAGCGTTTTGCAAAATTTGATGCAAGATCAATTTATTCCTGAGATGGACAATAAAATTTAAAAACACCGTGATGATATTGGTGTGGAGCTAAAGCAAATGATTGTTGATATGGAGCAGAAGATGAAAATTCTGGAGAGAGAACATTTGACAAAGTTGAAAGATGCAAAATATGATTTTATCAAGTACACTGTAGGTACACTTCTTTCTGTGGCATCTCTATGCAATTCTTCAAGTGATAACCACTTTGTGCTTTGTTCACATTTTATCTAGTTATTAGAACGAACTGTCCATTTCTGTTATGTGGCAACTTTTAGTTTCGCCATTGTGCAAATGTTCGAGTGATGGACACTTTGTGGTTTATTCACATTTTATCTAGTAATGAGAATGAATTGTTCATTACCGTTTGTGCTTTCCATTTTAATTTGATAATTTGATGTTCATTTTCATAGCAATCTCCATAATTCACTGACAAAATTATCTGTTTTTAAATGAGAAACAATGTCCATTATAAAACAAATGATATTATCAAATTCTCAATCTATACATTTTACGATATATTTTTACAAAAAAAAGAAGATATTATTTAGTATGCGCGTGAGCGAAAAGCCAACAAAGAGCTCCACGTTGATTGAAATCAACGTCACATCGTAAAAATACTAAATAATATCTTTTTCTTATAAAAATCCAACGTAAAAATCATTTTACGTTGATTGAAAAGCCAATACACTATTAGAAAATGACATTAATAAATCCAAAGTTCATAATGATTCATAATCCGCGATATACTAAATAATATCTTTTTTTTGTAAAAATAGATCGTAAAATGTATAGATTGAGCATTAGATAATATCATTTGTTTTATAATGGACATTGTTTCTCATTTAAAAACTTTGTGAGTGAATTATGGAGATTATTATGAAAATGAACATCAAATTAAAATGGAAAGCACAAACGGGAACGAACAATTCATTCTCATTACTAGATAAACCACAAAGTGTGTCCATCACTCGAACATTTGCACAATGGCGAAACTAAAAGTTGCCACATAACAGAAATGGACAGTTCATTCTAATAACTAGATAAAATGTGAACAAAGCACAAAGTGGTTATCACTTGAAGAATTGCATAGCGGTGAAAGTAACAGATGCCACAGAAAGAAGTGTACCAACAGTGTACTTGATAAAATCATATTTTGCATCTTTCAACTTTGTCAAATGTTCTCTCTCCAGAATTTTCATCTTCTGCTCCATATCAACAATCATTTGCTTTAGCTCCACACCAATATCATCACGGTGTTTTTTAATCTTATTGTCCATCTCAGGAATAAATTGATATTGCATCAAATTTTGCAAAACGCTAGTTATGAAATGGCAATAGAATTACAAAATGAAGGTACAATGACAATGCATACCATAGCAGTTTGTCCTTCAAACATGATCTTTCCAAGCCTAGCGTGATTCACTTCTTTAATCTGAAGCATGGTAGTGGTGAGCAAGAGATTACAACTTATATATTCCATGCTATCAAAAACAGTAGGCATTCAGAAATTTAGATATGATATTTACCTTATCTAATTCAATTCTTTTTGAAAAAGAATCATCGACCTTCTCCAAGGTGTTGTCCAGAACTTTCAAAAGTGCATGTGTGACCGCTCTTGATTGCCTTGATGTGAAGCCGTGGGCTTCCAAGCTCCTCATATGCTTAAAAAAAACAGAAATTTGCTCCTCAATAAATACATCTTCCCTCAATTAGAAGAAAAAGAATCATATAACAGCATACGCGTCGACAAGACACGCGCACGTGCCGTTCTGAGGGAGGCGACTTTTCCAATTTTGGGTTTTACGTTCCAAATAGCCGCTCTCCGAAAATAAATAATTTTAACATATTTTTTTGAAAATAATTTGTTATATCATTTGAAACAATTAACCAAAAAAAAAGTATTCATCAATGACAACAATTTATATCTATACTTCATCGCGGACCATAAAAATGTCGTCGTTTAGATATTTTTGTAACTGATGCATAATGTCCTAAAGTGGCTAGTTTGTGCTTTCCAATTTAATTTGATAATTCGATGTTCATTTTCATAGAAATTTCCATATTTCACTCACAAAATTATTTGTTTTTAAATGAGAAACAATGTCCGATATAAAACAAATGATATTATCTAATTCTCAATCTATACATTTTACATTATATTTTTACAAGAAAAAAATATTATTTAGTATATCGCGGATTATGGATCATTGTGAACTTTGAATTTATTAATTTCATCTTCTGACGTTTCATTGTGAATTTGTCCAAAATGAAGAATACGCGTGAGCGAAAAGCAAACAAAAAGCTCCCCGTTTGGGTGAAATATATTTTTACATATGTAAGAAAAAAAAATTATTAGGAAGAGAAAAATCAAATATATGGAAAATTTGAAAGCCGAGCTCAGATAATGAAGAACTGGAGTGAGAATTCAAGGAACGAAAGTACCAATAGATGAAAAAAGATAAACCTGCCCATGAACGTCTGATTTCAAATGGCGAATGTATGCTTGGGAGGGTCTTTGCGGTAACAGAATGAATAAGTGAATCACACATTCTGGATTTCTAGGTTGAAGGAATAGCTCGAGTGAATCGGAAGTCGGTCCGCCCACACGGCTACCCACTTGTATGCGAGCGCCACATAAAATGCATGCGTATACCACGGGGTTATACGTATATATGTGACTCCTTACTCAAGGCAGCATGTTTGTGTATTAACCAACTGGAAAAGGTAATGATGCCCCGACTGTTATCGCGGACTAGGAGATATGAAGCGTGCAGCGCTACTAAGCCGCTAAAACATATGGAAGGTACACAAAGGGAAATCGAAAAGCAGCATTCACTTCATTTTCTTGCACATTTCGTAGAAGTAGCTCAAGATCACCACAGCCGCAGCCGCTGCCACTCCAACAGCCCCTTGTGCCAATACGGCACCATTCGCTACTGCCTTGCTGCCTGAAGAACTTGGCGTGAACCCCAGTTCAGAGAGCTTCTTATGCGAGATTGCATAATCCCTGAAAAATGCATCCTCATCCTGCCACATGCTTGACAACATTAGGGAAGGAAGAGAGTACAGCAAAACAAAACAAAGAACAAAAGAAGCAGAGTAGCAAATTGTGCAATTGTCTCTTTTCAATGTCGTGCCAACCACCGTGAGAGGGTTGCTGGAACAACCACCAGTTCAAATATCATATCAGGTGTTCCCTGTTGCATGCAGATGATGCTCTAGCCTAGAGGTTTCAGGGAACCACATAATTATATCTATCCCAACACATGTATACATCTACCCAAAGTTTGATGTGCGGTCTCATTAAGAAGATTTCCTGGTCTCTGCATAGAAGATGGTGCTGGAACAGACTGGATACTTCCTAGGTTCCTAGGTAGCATCACAAGCCTATGCAGCATAAAGCACTTTCCATCTCTTTTCGGTCTCCGCAAAACCAAGGACAGTAGCATCAAAGGGTTGTGGACCGTTCGCATAAGGAAACTAAATGTTGGTGCAGGCGGGGAGCCAAAGTTTTAGTTTCATCAAAACCAAGTTTAGAAAAGGAAACCATGCAATTGCATTTCGATTTTATTGATTTATTGATGAAGTCACCACAACACTCGAAAAGCCTGTATTACCTTGGCATACAACTCAACATAAGGACGAAACGCAGGATCTTCCAACAGTGCCTTGTCAGTTGGTAGTTTCAGCATCCCCTCTTATTCCCCTTCCAACAACTCGCTTTGACTAAAACCAAACAATGCACCAGTGAGTAGGCTACTATCTAACTTTGGCAGCTATACAATACAAGAAGTCCTACTGAACTCGCATCAGAACTCTTCTAACAACATCACTGCAATTGAGACAAGGGCTTTCCTTTGAACAAGGCCCCCAGCTAGCAGGACTGCACGGGGCCATCTCATCTCTAGCATATGCAGCCCACAAACTCCAAGTTGCAATGGCATCATCAGCATAACTAATCCAACCGAGTTGTTCCATCAGGGATCACTAAACCTTCTGTATACTATACTGTATCCAGCTTATGTGCCAAAACAAGGAAATTCCCACCAAAATAAACCAGAGAAGTGTTTGTCCAAAGTGGAGCATTTGCCCTCCCCCACTTAATGGATAAGGCCTAGTTTGTTGTTGTCGAAGTTGATAGTTAATCTTGAATTATACATGTTAAGGGCGTACGTCACCACTCAATCTCATTATAAGCATCCAGATGCAACCACTGGACTCCATAAAGATTGAAGTGTACAAAATTATCTACAGATACTATCGTTCATTAAATCCCAAGCAGATTGACCCAGTGGAAAACAGAACCGCAAACATGCACAAAACGAGGTGTACAAAGGCTTTTACCAATATGCCTATCAACATACCAAATATCAGTCGCGGGATAAGTGATAACTAAAAGCAAATGAGTTCAAAGCCTTTTTACCGATACTCCTCGAGAGGAATTAAAGGGTCAGGTCTCACAGCTTCCAAATCGAACTTTGATTCCTTTGAAGATGATACTCTGGGATGATCTTTTGAGTTATAATATCCAAGCACCTTGAAGTTCAACAATGGAAAATTGCGCACAAGAAAAGAATCGGAGTAATTCTTTAGGAGTCAAACTTCCATAATTACCAGTCTAAGTGGTGCGTTTTTGCTTCTATTAGAGAGATGGACATCCGGTGCAGAGAAAGAAAGCTTAGGCCCACTAAATCCACCAACTGGATAGATGTCACACTGGCATCCAATCCCACATAGAGCAAGTTCCAGCATATTGGCGTATCCCTCCGGCAGATTATTCCAGAAAGTCCATCGGTCACTTGAGAGTTATCCCGAGTCAGCACCAGCAAACATTCTCCATCTGACATTCATGTTCTTGACAATCACTCGGCCCACAAGCTTTCCAGAGTCGTTAGGATCTTCAGAACTAGGACTGCAAGGTTTGCTTTCTGCTGACTGTTTCATGCTGGACATCTCACAGATGTCTGCAATATGGTTTTCAAGAATTCCTGAAGAATTTTCTCTATACCGTCCACCGTCGCCCCTTCCAGCATTAACATCTTCTACAATTCCACTTGTGTGTTTGACTATTGCCCACGAAACATCTCTGCCTGCAGATGACTCTGATAGAGGCGTAGGTCTGATATACAATAGCCTTCTATAAACTCAGGAAAGTAACCTTTCCGAATAAATGAGGCCTGACTGCTTTCCAATCCTACTGAAGGCACCGACCCACTTACTAATAGATCTTGAGATAGTGTTTCAGGAGCTGCACTATCAAAATCACATTACTCTCCAAGAGAGCTTTCCTCATTTGATTCAGAATCATATTAGCAAGTTCTACTCTCATCTGAAAGAAAAGCATCCTCACGTATCTCATCCATCGATCCAATCACCAAGGCTTGACTCTTCGCATTTGCACTTAGAGTGCACCTGAGGAGTTGATGGGGCAAGATCACCAACATAAGTTCTTACTTCAGCTTCCAAATGATTCCTCTCTTGTTCCTTTTGAACGTTATCCACCCTACTCTGCAAGTGAACAAGAGATTCTTCCAAATCAAGAGAAAAAAGCTGTTGAAGTTGTGTGACAACGTAGCCAATCTTGTGAAGATGTTGCACATTGTAAGAACAACCGAGAAGCTCAAGTTCTGATGCTGAGCAAAGGAGAAGCCCAAGATCTTGCGCTCTTACATTGTAATTAGTGTCAATCGAATCTCCGGAAGTTGCATTAGAAATACTGAAGCAAGATGCAGCCATAATACAGGCAACGTAACAGTTGTCCAAGGATGACTTGACACTTGAATGACTGAATGCAAGGTCAACAATTTGTGAGGTAATCATCGGGCTCTTTAGATAAGGTTCATAGCTCAAACCGGCATCAACCAAGTTTAAAGAAAAGAAGATCCAGGAAGCTGTTGGCAATCTTCTTTCAATGAAGAACATTCACCACAACCTTCAGTTTCAAAAGCCGGCAAAGTAAAGAAAGCTGATATTGCATCGAACCAATCCAATCGACCACCTATGGCAACAAAAGTGCCACATTTAACAGCGATGGACAAAAATCCATGGAAATTCACTGGATCCCACATGTGGACAAAGTCAGAACCAGCTAATCCAGTACATAGAGCATTGGAACCTCCCCCATCAGCCGGTACATAGAGCATTGGAACCTCCCCCATCACCCCGTTTCATTGTTGAATTGCAACATGAGATCAAAAGAAACTCTTCATCTAGTACGCCAGTGATTGAACCCCACAAATTGGCTTCCTCATGAGCCAACCCAAAAAAATTGGCACCATTAATACCGTCAATATCCGAGACATTCAATAATTCAAACTTTTTAATTCTCAAATATGAGCCGAAACCATGACCCAGGAAGTTCATTCTGTATCGAGCTTTTGATGGTGTCAATCTTATCAGGGTGAATAACAGTCGATCACACTCCATTTATACTGATGTCTGGCCTACAGAAATTTTTTCAAAGAATCGGCATCCTCAAAAGCCACTCTAGTAAATCCTTTCATCACTTGACTCAAAAGACACTTGAAGACTTCATATCCTTAGCTCCGAAGAGTAACTACAGCAGAGGATAAATGCAAATGCATAAGGAAACTGGAGCTCGTTAGTATCTCTTGACGTATTTCAGAAGCAGTATCACTAGAATCTCTCAAAGTTGTTATGGAGGCAAACTCAGGTCCTTTTCCCACGAATTTATTTCTACTCCTCTCCTCTGAAACAGCTAAAGACTTTGCTCTCTCGGCAACCCATGCACCAGTAACAGGACCCTCTTGCCAAATCATTCTGAGGATGGAAGGAGGTGTGTAGTTGGCAACAAGCAGAATCTTCAGAGAAGAAAATTTACACCCTTTAGCAGTACAGCGAGACTCACCCCCATCATCACCCATCATCAGCCACCGCACATGCAGTACTGACTAGATACAAGTCAAGGTTACAGGAACTCAGATGCACAGAAGTTGTCACCATTGAAGAAAACCTCTTCTTGGAATTTGAATTGCAGAAGGGTATCAAAGTTCAAACTATCACCCTTCCCTTCTCTTGCAGAAAAAGGAGAATAAAAGTCCAGAGCAATAAACTGATCCCAATCAAAATAGCTGATCCCTGAGGATTGGAACATAGGGCAATAAACTGATCCCAATCAAACGAGACTCTTTGAATTCAAAGAGTCTCGTTTTATCTTAGGATCGGACCGAATGGATCCTATCCTTCGAGAGTCGCACCGTGGGTTGTATTTTTGGTCGTGATTTTCAATTTTCTTTTTTGGTTTTTTGTGGGATTTGCAAATTGGAAAACTCATTCTTTGGATTTTGGTGGCTAGCTGAATACCAATTTTCGTAAAATAAGTGAAAATGTATACATACATTTATAGGGAGAAAATTAATTTGCTTGATCCTATTCTCATGGTGTCTTGTTTTGTTATGAGAAAATTCATCAAAGAAATTATTGTCATGCATTCTTGATGGAGTTAGTAAGGATACTGCAGCTCATACTTGTTGGCTGCTTTGTGAGCCATAGTCACCCATGTTTTCGTTGGATTGCGTCAAACCCATTTTGCGGCGGGATAAAAAAAAAAACGTTATGTCGATTGAAACATTCCTCAGGTAGGTGCTTTTGGTGCTTCAGGCATTGGATCAAGGATGTTAAGCATTCTTGGTTGGATGATCAATTGTCCCTCAATTGTCGTCTGTTTTATATTTAGGGTGAATTTCTGTCTAGTTCATGGCAACTCTTTCGTACCGTGAAAAACTTCAAAACTATCATTACATTAACAGGGAGAAATGCCATAAGCATCTGACCCGGTCCGTTTCTCAGTTTTTGCCGCGACCCGCGACGACACCGCGTCCAACGTTTCGGGTCGGATCCAAAAACCAAAAATAAAGTGTCGAGGGACCGGGTCGGACCTCCTGGGGTTCTACACGCGCGGGGAAGACCTCCTTCAACGGTTGCAGAGGCGGTCAGGGTTTTCTTGAAATCTTACCGCTCCTATCGTCTCTCTCTACCTGCGAACACAGCGAGAGTAGCAATGGCAGCAGCTGAACTGGCGGCGGCTCCTCTTCGCTTGCAGTAGCTGCAATGGCGGCAGACGTTTCAGTGAAGGTGGAGCCGGAGAACGTCTGTTGCAGAGCGGTATGGCTTGTTCAGATGCATTCACTCGCTTTTGTTGTTTGGCTTTTTGGGTCCTTAGGGTGGAGGGTTTTTGTGGGTTTCGATAGTTCTTTCGAGCTGACAGCTTTTTTTGGGTGTCGTGCGCTTGCAGTGGAAGGTCAAGTACTCGAAGTTGGAAGAGAAGCGAAATGCTCTGAGGCAAGCCGTGAAGCTCCTCGAGCAGCAGCTCAATAAGATTCAGGCCGAAAGCCTCAATCACAAGAAAGGTAATGGAAAAAACTGTTGCTTCAACTGTATAAGAAGATTGTGTTGAATACTGTCTTGCTTTGTGTGATTCTGAAAGCTGAAAAGTTGAGGAAGTTTTGATGTTGAATCCGAAAGTGTAGATTCATTCAATACCTTGCTCGATGAAATTGTTTCGCGAGGGGCTTAATGCTGTTATTTTGGTATTTGATTCTTTAAGGAAGAGCAGATTTGGGGCTGCCACTGACAAGTAGTATGTATACTTCTGTATTTTTTTCTACTTGCAGCATGTGAAGCGGAACGGACGCGTGCAGACCTTGAGAAAGAGGAAAAGGAGAGAGCATTATCTGTCAGAGTTTTGTTGGAGAATGAAGTCGCTGCGTTGAAGTCCAAGATAGTGTCATTGTGGAGAAGTGTCGGTTCTGATGATCAAGACGGGAAGGAGAAAATCGAGTTGCTCAAGGCCCGGGTATCTAAGGGGGAAGCAGAACTTAAACGCCTTAAGGAACTTACAAAGAAGGAGAAATCTAGGGCAGATTCAGAAAGGAAGAATGCAGAGTCCGAGAAAAGAAGAGCTGAGGAAGCCTGGAAAATGTTGCAAACCGAGAAAAGTAAGGCTGATGAAGAGAGAAAATTCTTTGCCATTGAACGGAGAAAGGCTGAAGACTGTAGGCTGCAGTTGCAGAACTTGAGAAAAGAAATTGATGAAGCAAGATCAAAATTAGTCTCTGAGACTTTAAGGTGTGAAGAGGCAAAGAAAGAACTTGAATTAGAGAAGCCAAGGACAATGAAAGAGAGACAGCGTGCCGATTTGGAGAAGGCTAAAGCAGCTGATCAAAGAAAGCTGGCTGAAGATAATTACAGGAAGCTGATGGAAGAGAAAGATCGTGCTAAAAAATTGTCTGGCGAAGTTGAGGGAGGCAAAAAGCACATTGAGAAATTGCAGGAAGAGCTTCATGACGTTATGTCTTCTATCAGAATGAGTAACTGTCCTGTAGCAGGAACTGACCAGAAAGTGGATTTTGAGATGGCAAAGCAGAAGGATGAGCTTTGCAGAACAGCTAGGCTGATTTTAACAGCTGAGAAAGCAGCCATTGATGTTGAGAAACAAAGACAGTCAAGTAAGAAGAAACAGACAGCTTTGGAAATGTTGAAAGGAAATAATCAAACTGGAGAGCATAATAAGGCTTTGGATGACAAAGATAATGATAAATCACCTAAATCGTCAGAGAAAAAGAGGCGAAGGAGTGGAAAGTTCAAGAAACATGGATCTGGGAAACTGTTGGAGGCTCCTCCTGCCTTGCCTACGACGGATGCTGAATCTACCAAGTTGAAGCTTTTGAAAGAAAGATTGAAGCTTGAAAAGACGAGAGCTAAACATACCAAAGAAGTGGTGGAATTGGAAAAATGCCGAAATGATCTTCTGATGCAAGAAATCCTTCGTATGAAGATGGAATTTGGCGAATTTTCACATCGCCTTGATGTACTGGGCAGCTGTTTCTCACCCAGCCGTGAAGGTATGCTTGGGCTTGAAAAGGTGTGTTTCCTAATCAGTAAGTTCATTATGACTGGTTTTGGTCTTGTGCATGTGTGAAGGAGGTAAGCAATAGAGATGTAGACGATTGTGTTATATAAGTATATGCGGCAGAAAAGCAACTAATTATAACAGCTTCTATGATGTTATGTTACTACAAATATAGGAGGCAGCGAAAATTGAATGTCTTGGTCAGGGACAATGATTAATCCATAACTGCTTTGTCTCTTCACTCTTCCCTTGTAGTCTGGTCTGATTTAATTTAGAGAAACTACTGCAACCTTGAATTTGATAGATATAAACTCTAATGCTGTGAAATTATAGTAGTGATTGAAAAGGTGAAGGCGTTTTTGATTCGTAGTGTATTACATTTGTTTTGAAGATTATGCAAAAATTTGGCCCTTTTTCCTGACTTGATTTTGGTGACCCTCGATATTCAGCAAGCATTACAATATCTTTATAGCTTCATTTTCCTGGTGGGCTAGGGCATCAGAGTGTCTTAGATGCATCAGATAACACGACACACTTTGCCACTAATTGAGGGAACCATTATCTTCATTAGACTTCTTAAAATTGTTTGGGTTTATTATAAATCCCACTTTTTTTTCATGCTTTATTCCTCATATGTACATTCTCCTCCAGCTCATACGTAGTGAAACTCCCAGAGGATGGTTTTTCTTTGCTTTGAGTAAGGGCACTATAGTTTGTGTTTTTCCTGATGAGGCGTATTCCTGGTTCTTTTTGAACTCTTGTTTAGTTTGAATTTACTTATAGTTTCTTCACAAACATCATCTAATGGTGAACTAGCTTTCTTTTCTGGTTTGCTTACCTGATGGTTTGATGAACTCTGTAGAATGTTGGAACCACCGGTACAACTGGAAGGAGGCAAAATTTGTGTGTACCAGACTCGTTTCATGCATGCTGTCAAAGCGACAATGCAATTTTCAAGCCTAGCTGTATATCCGTTGCCACATGTGATGATTTGAGACAGCTTCTGCATAGAGAAGTTGGGCTGCCTACACCCAGAGGCAGTTCTACTGATTTTGTATCAGGTACTGATTCTAAATCGGAGCTTCTGCCTAGAGGCTCTAACAGAAAAAAATTACAGCGTTCTGCCATAAATTCTGGTATGGCATCTTTTTCTGATAGAGAGTTGGTGGGATCACAGGACCGGGCATACATTGTTGCTTCATCAGCAAAACTGAGGAAATATAACTTGAATCTATCCAATGGAGATACCAAAGTGAGGGCCAACGAAAAATTTCCTGAGGTTTGTGACGATAGCGTGAAAAGTCCTCATGTGGGTCTTCGTGGATCAAAAGTATGCGGACAGAAGAGGAAGGAACTTCTTGATGTGATTGAATCGGTTGATCATATGAGTGTAAGAAGTAGGAAGTTGCATCTCCATATGGAAGAGGACCGTACTCTTTTGCATGGTATTTTAAGTCAACAAACAGATGAACCCTTGAATGATGCTGGATGTATGCTTGATAGTAAACAAGTGGAGCATGGGAGCAAGCGGAAGAAGAGAAAGGTTTTTCATGAAAAGGACGTTGGAAAGGGACTACAACATGGCAATAAGATACCGCAGAACAAAAATAACTGTGGATCTGAAATTCGCACTGAAGCAAATATCAGTGGACAGGTTCCCAATGAAATAAATGGAGGAGTTTGCTTTGTACGGAGGGCAGATGTTGGTGGTTCTTTTGGCTGTAACAATGATAGAGTTGAAATTTTTGATACTGTGGATGGCAGTTATATGAAATTGCTGGAGTTGGATGATCCGACTGATGAGCAGCGCTACAGGAGAGCGATTGGCAGGCTTGTTTCTCCAGTGCTTACCGAGATGGACTTCAATATCACTGAATCTTCTGATAAGGAAGAGAAAGACTTGATCCATGGAGTAGTACATGAGAAAGAGAATACATCAACTTCCTGCTGTCTTGTTTTGGGTGAAGGGAGAGT